AGCTATGAGTCGTAGTACTCCACAGCACTTAACAACAGTGAGGGAGACTGCCAAAAGAACAAATCTGCCTTGGAGGAAATACCTGCCAAGGTGTTTCTAAGAGGCAACAATGGTGAAACTTTGTCTCACATACACAGGGGGGATAAAACCAAAAAACAAAAAAAAAACCCTCCAAAAACAAAAACCAACAGGAAGAGAAAGGTAGAGAGTCAGAAAAAAGAGGAAGACCCCCAATAAGATGAATTGGCACAATGTCTGTAACAATGGGCTCAAGCGTATCAGAGATCATGAGGATGGTACAAAATACAGTAAGGTTCAGATCTGTTTTTCATACGGTTGCTATGAGTAGTCGTTGACTTGATAGCATCTAACAATAATGGTGGGGAAAAGCTGTCTTTCTATGATGGTGCTTAAAAATGTTACATTCAGTATTAATTTTAGAACATTTTTTTTCAGTGTCTTATTTAATTTCTTTGCCAATAGATTGAGTAAAATACAAGTAGGGATTATAGTTCTGACAGTGAACCAAATAGGCACTTGCACATTAATGTGTTGATATTCATTTGCTTCCTCCTGGTTAAAGTATTTTTGGTTTTTAGTTAAAATATTTCTTAAATGTATTAATAATTTTATAAAATTAATAGCATTTACATACAAGATAGCAAGTTAATTACCCTAGAGATGGGCGGGTATGGGACTGCCAACACAGATCCATCCTTGACACATCCCTAGGGTCCTCCCCTGGTCCCATACTAGTTAGTGAAGGAGGCAGGAATGCAGGCGACACTACTGGACTCTGAAGTGGTTCATTATGATCCTGGGAAATCACGTCAAGTTTGTGGTCCCAAACTGATCCATTTTTCAAGAAGTCCTCCAAAAGAGAGGCAACCCTGATGAAATCTTTTAAGAAGGTGCTCTTAATAGGATCTCTGATGATTTTATAATTGCTTTTAGAAATCAGGGATTGATTGTGACATTGTATAGAGCAAGGACATGAACATGGCCGGTAACTAACTAACTACTACACAAAAAACTTTTCCAAATTCCAAGAGAGTCCATAAAATTCTATCCTGGTCACCAAAATCTCCTTTGAAAAGTTTATCTATTTTACAACTTTCTATTATACAAGTATTTCATGCCCTAATTAATGTTGAACTCTATCAACAATCCTTCACTGTAACACACCTACTGTTACTGAGTCAATTCTGCCTTATTATGACATGTACTGGAGAAATTGGTTCTCCAGGGTTTTTTTGGCTTTAATCTTCAAGGAAACACTGCCAGGCCTTGAGAGTAGTAGTCCATCACAATTCCCACGTCTCACCCTGATAATAACCTAAATGTCACTTCTACCAGAAATCTGAACCTGTGAGCAATTGTTCAAAGACCTATCCATCCAAGTTTTACTCGTCTAATTGTCAGTAATCACAATCCAGATAGGTTCAAAATGCTTCTCATAATTCACTATCCTTCTCCGTTTCCAGGACTGTGAGTTTACAGGTACTGTTAAAATCAACATTTTCTTGCTTTTTTATGTACTCTCCTTTCACGTTGCTATCCAGTCATGTCAATTTTTACTCGAACTTCATCTTTACTGCTGTTCTTCCCAAGTCATTTTCCTCTGCAATTACTTGAATGTTGTGCACAAAAACTGCACTGCCATCAAGCTGATTCCAACTCACAGCAACCCTCTACTGGATTTCTGAACCTGTAAGTCTTTACAGGAAGAGATTGCTCATCTTTCTCCTGTTGAGGAGCTAGTGGATTTGAATGGGTGACTTTTTAGTTAGCAACACAACACATTAATGCTCTACACTAGGTCATTTGTACTCATCACTTGATTATTAGAACTATCTTCTAAAACTTTCAAATGACTTTCCATTTATTTCAATAGTGACTTTGAAGAACTCATTTCAGTGAATATCCTAACTGTAAAGTTTCCAAAATGAGACTCTCGTGTTTAGGTTCTTGAAAGTAGCTTTGTCTTTGTGTACCATTTCATTTTTCTTCTCCAAAGACTTTTGAATCCATGATTTTGAATGCTTAGTTGTTTCTGGGTTATGCTGTCAAACTGCAACTTCCTTCATGAGGCTAATAATTTAAGTTAGTTTATTATTTCTCAAAAATTTCTTTATGGAACCACTTCCTCACCATCAGTTAGTTACTCCCAGACACTGCTCTTCATTCCAAGTCTATTAATGTCATTCTTCAAAGCCATTTCAGGTAAATCTTTTCAAGTAAACCACTATAAGCTTTAGTTAAAGTGAGAAGAAGAATTTTTTTCTTTATGAGAACTAAAATTGCACATGGCATTTTTTATTTTGGGTTGCAAAAAGGAAAAAAACCTAAAAAACCCTAGAAATAGGCTTGTCAAATGATGTCAAATCATCACTTCCAGGGAAACAGAAGATAGACCAGTGAAAGCATGTGCAAATTATAACCATATACTTACTCAAGGGCAAAATGGTTTTTCTGCCTTTTCCCCAATTATATGCTGTGACAAGTATCTTGTGTACTGTTCAAGTTAAAACTGATATGAGAAGACTGACCATCCTTCTCCTGCAGAGCAGCTGGTGGATTCAAACAGCTTACCTCTGCGCTGGTAGTGCAATTCTTTACCACTCAGCCACTAGAGCTCATTATCAATTGTGGGTAATCAATATTTGGTACATTCATCAGTTTTCTCATTAACATCATTTTCTGCTTATAGAGCAACAAAATAATCTCAAAAAAGAGACCTATCTACATATGCTTTGTTGTTGAACACCTGTACTAAGATGACAAAGATGTCATCTAAGAACCACAATCAAATCTCTGTTCATAATTACCATTCACTGGCTAAAAGTCAAATATTTTACATTTATTTCACTCATCCTTTTCCTTGTGGCTGAGGACATTTAAGTTTATAATAACTTGCCAACAACTTATAAATGATAAAGTCAAACCTAGGTCTGCTTGGCTTCAAATCCCATGCTTTCTCCACAAATTTAATTAATCTCTGGAGCAGTTATAATCTGTTTTTAAGGTGACTATAAGCTGAAATGGACACAATGGCAAGAGGTTTGGTTTATACTAACATAAATCCCAAAACCTCAGTTTTATAGCAAAAGTTATTTCTGAAATAATGACAAAAAAAAGTTACATTTGTTAGAGCTGTTGACCCAAACGTAACCGCTGGCCTTAACTTAAGGGGGACTATCTTGTAGACCAGAAGGTGGCAAACTATAACAAATCCAATCTGTTGCCTATTATAGCACTTTTAAGTACAGTACATGGTTAGGAAAGAACAATTTTGTGACAAAAAAGCAAAATTAAAATCTTATTTCATTGCTTTTGAGACTCATAGAAGACCTTCCAGTAGATTTTCCAAGGCTGTAAATTGCACAGGAAGAAAATGCCTGACATCTTTTTTCCAAGGAGCCCCTGGTGGATTTGAACCATCAGAGGAATGGCCTAGAGGAATGGTTAGCAGGACAACTCTCTATGGACTACATCATCTGGAGTTACTGTAAATGAAAATGTTAGTGTCCAACATGTTGGGTGTGTTTTTTTAATACTTTGTCAATTTAGTTGGGCTGGGAGGGGGGGATGACGTTTTAAATTTGCTATCTCAGCTCAGTAACACTAATAGAAAAATTCCCCACTTTCTTGTCTATTCCTAAGTGAAAACACTGTTCTACAAAGTGGGAAATTTCCCAAGACTTTAAAAAAAAAAAAATCAATATTCACAAGCATTTTCATTAGGACATTTTTTTTTCCTCAGCAAGAAGGTGCCTCCAACTAAGATCAATTTGAGATGGATTTTAGAATCCAAGAAAACAACAGAGCACCTGGTAGCTACTAATTTTTCTCAAATATGCAACTTAAGTATCTCTTTCATAATGTCTCAAGTGTCGTATTACACTGGGGAGTATAAACGGTAACCGGTAACCGTATCTAACTTGTTGCAATGTAGAAGAATTAAAGAAGTCAACATCCATCGTTCAAGGGTCTAAAAAGTTTCCCTACTTTCTTTCAAGTTCTCCAATCTAACATTTCCGGGATCGTATAGTTTTCGGTGTGGAGTCTCTTCTCCAAGCCTGACTCATCTGTTTTCCCTGCAACCCTTTATCCCTGCTGGCTCTTCTCTGCCAAAGTAGGTAGATGAATTAGAAATAATTATCAGGCTGTACTCTCGGAAAAGCAAGATACTAGCAATCTCGAGAAAAAAGTGTCTCTTTTTTGCATGAATTAGACGAAACCGACCCTAAGTAAGGTGGCCAGCCTTCTCTAAGAACAAATTCTTTAACGGCAAAGCATTTTTTTTTAGCAAGCTGGTGGACGGAAACCACAGCATGGAAACTCTGCCCCGGAGTCTAAAAGATAACGAGTTAAGACTTTAATTGACCCTCGCGCGGGGGACCGGGGAGGGCCTTCAGCACGGCAAGACGATACTTTCGAAACTGTCACTACACTGTTCAAACTGGAGTCTCCCGCCCAAAACCGGAGTGCACATGGCAGACCTAAAATGGGCCTCCCCTCCCAGGGTTCCTGTCCCCAGGGAAGATGCGTGGTGACGGTCTGATCCACTAGACAGGGGCAAGAGGTAAAAAGGAGACAGGAAATCCTCTTTATTTCCAACAACCCTCCAAAGCGGGAAAGGTCGATCTCTACGACTGGTTACAGGCCTCAATCCCGGGGCCCGGAAAGGAAAAACTTAAGCCTTTCCGGCACCGAGGAGCTCTCGCCCAGAGCCCCAATCCCACTCGGCTTTTCCTTAACCCCGTCCCACTCTGAGGCTCACCATGGTTCCCATTATCCCTCCACCACCCCCACCCGCGCAGGCGCAGTGGGAACCGGGGCCTACCCGCGCCCCCAAGGCGCCGCGACTATGGCGGAGCTCGACCAGGCCGGTGGCTGCTGAGCGCGAGGCAGGCGTTCTTCTTCCGTCCCCATGGCCTGCCCATGGCACAGTCAGGACCCTGTTCCCACCCGGCTAGCCCTGTTTCCGTCCTCCTCACCCGTTCTTCAAATCCACCTCCAGGATCTTCCCGTAGCCCTTAAAGAAGCGCTCCACATCGCGCTCCCGGGCCTGGTAACTCAGGCGGCCGATGTACACTCGAGGCATCCCGGCAACGGCAGTCGTGGCTTGGCCCGGCCCCAGCCCCCCTAGGCGGCGGCCGGTGAAGCGAGAGCGCGGCGGCAGCGGCGACGACGGCAGCGGCAACGGGCGGGAGGCCGGAGGGACGCAGCCGAACCCCGGCGACGTACGCGAGCACGTAGCTCGCGAGCGCGCGCCTCCCGCTTCCCCCGCCTTCCCCTTAGGCAGATGTAACGGGAGGGAGCGCGCGCGCTAGCTTCCCGCCCCACCAGGAGTAGGGGGCGGAGCCTGCGCGGGGCGCGCCGGCGTGGGGCGGGGCAGGTGATTGACAGGCCGTGCTCCGGCGCGTCCTCGCCCGTGTTCGTCCCCGGGGGGACGGCGTCGTTTTCCGCCGTCCAGCAGCCTTGTCCCTCCTCCCGGAAATGTCTGCGTCTTTCTACTCTGGGATTTGCTCCTAGCTCAGCGTTAGTTCTTTTGTCCTTTGAACCGGGAGTAGTTTCCCTATCGAACAGGAGGTTTTATATAAGAATTATACTTTTGAACTTGGCCTAACGCTTTGATGGCTTAGTCCCGTAGGGAGTTGTACTGCTTTTCCAAAGGCGGTGACCCTGGCAGTTTCGAACCCACCCGTCTCTGAAGGCGAAAGATGAGCAATCTCGTCTCATGCGATTTACAACCTTCTAAAGCCTGCTGGAGGGTCAGCTATTAGTCAGTTCTAATTCTACAGCAATGAGGGGTTTTTTAATGGATCAATGTTTGAGCTTTGGCGACGCAGTGATTAAGTGTTAACCAAAGCCCCAGCAATTCGAACTCATCTCTGCAGAAGGGTGAGAGTCTGTTTTCATAGAGATTTCTGCCTTAGAAACCACGGGGCAGTTTTATCTTTCAGGGTTGCTGTGAAGGGGAAGTGGGGACGCCTTGAGGGTTTTTCTCCTTGCGAGGCGGGGAGGGGTTCTGATCTTGGGCTCCTAAGCATTTCTGAGCCTCAGTTTACCTTTTCTACAAAAGGATAACAATCTTACTTTACAGACATATCTTGAGAATTATATAAATAGGTACCAAAAGCATTTTACACCCAAAGTGCCCAATAAATGACACCACTAATATATAAAAGATAGTACAATGCTTAAATAGAAGCAATGTAGGAGATAAGAAAGGCTAGGACGTTGAGGTCTAAGTATGAGACAGTAAATTATCTATTTCAATCTATGTCCTAATCTATAAAGTTAGAATAATTTTTGCTCATCTCAAGGGACAGTCAGGATAACTAAAGGGGGTGGTTGGTATAAGAAGTGGTTGGGACAGTTAAACTGCTAGAAGCTCAAGAAACTGAAATTCTCTTCTAGAACCAATATTTTTAGGTTCTTTACCTAGAATCATGTTGTTGTTATGTGTCATGGAGTTTATTTTGACTCATCTTTCTAGCTCTCATTCCCATCTAATCAGAACCAACTCATAGCTCACCTCTGTTGGGCTTTCCAAGGCTGTAAATGTCAAGGGAGGTTTTTGCCTGTCTTTGTCCTGCAGAGCCACTGGTGGACTTGAACCAGCAGACGGGCCCCTTTGAGTTCGCAGTGCGACCTTGAAGGTACTACACCAACAGAGTCATAGCAACCTTATTTAACAGTGTTGCTGTTTTTAGGCGCCATTGACTATGACTCTTAGTGACCCTCTCCTTACCATATTCTCTGATACACTTGAGACCACTGCTGTAGACACTATGTTGATCCATCTTGTTGAGGGTTATCTGCTTCACTGACCTCCCCCTTTCTAGATGTTCTTAAAAAGGACTCGTCCTATTACTGGCATATCAGTAGGCCTTTTGGATCTCCTCATGTGTTAAGCCTTCTGTTAGCAGGTGGACACTTAACCCTTATGACACCAGGGCCCTTTCCTAGAAATACAAAGGAATTGTATTTGTTTGTTATTTTGAAAATATATTTCAAAGGGGTTCACTAGTCCAAAATTCAAATCATTCAAATAATTAGTCTTCCCATCTTCATCCTCCAGATACCCACTTTTCTTTCCAGGAGGCAAAGCAATAATGCAATAACAATGCAATAATTCCTTAAATGCCCTTCCAAAGGGGCTTTACACATAAAAGCAGAGAAGGGTCCTATGTGGGTGAGGTTTGGTAGCTAATCTTGTAAAGAATTGTGCTCCTAACCCAATAGTGGCACCTCTGACAGTTTGAATCCACCAGAGTCTCTGTGGGAGAAAAAGCAAGTTACTCCCATGTGATTGACAGTCTTCGAAAACCTGCTGAAGGGTTTTTCAAATAAAGAATCTGTGAGTTGGTTCTGAATTGATGGCAAGGAGAAAGAAATTGTGCCATACATATCATTCCATGAGTATAATGGGAGATTCTTTAGGTCTCTTTAATTGCTCCATTTTATGCATAATTATTTAACCAGCCCCCTAGTGAAGAACACTGGGCTCCCAATCTTTTGAATGACTCTATATACACACACGCATATATAAGCAGGATTGATTCCTAGAAGGAGGAGAGCTGAGTCAAAGGGTGTAGGCATTTGTAGATTTGAGATTGCTCAACTCTCCTCCATCCTGTTTCCCCACATCCTCACTAATGCTCGTATCCGATTTTTTGATCTTTGCTAATCTGATAGGTGAAAAATAGTATCTTGGGGGTAGTTTTCATTTGCAATCATGAGTAGCATGAGTTTCTTGATACGTTTAACAACTATTTATATATCCTTTTTGTATGTTTATATCTTTGGCCATTTTTCTGTTAGATCCTTTTTTTTTAATTTCTTTTTTTAATTAAATTTTATTAATTTTAATGAACATTTACAGAGATTTTGGGTTTCCATTCATTCATTGTTGCACTATTTTCTCTACCCTCCTCCCCAGTTCGTTCCTCTTTTTTCCCCCCCTTGAAAGTCTGTTTAGATCCTTTTCTTATTGACTGATGGAAACTTACTACATATTAAGAAAATTAGCTCCGTCTTATGAATTGCAAATATTTTTTCCTGGTTTGTTCTGTGACTGTGCCTAAGATATTTTTTTTTGCAATGCCAATAAATAGATATAGATAGATAGATATAAATTTCTCCATCTTTATTTTTAATTTGGGTTTTGTGTTGTAGTTTGAAAAGCCTTTTCACTGAGATTTAAAAAAAAAAACCAAACCTTCGCCGAGAGGAGGGCTGGGCGGGGAGAGAAGTGCAGCACTGAATGAATGTAAATCTAAAATCTCTGTAAATGTTCATTAAAATTATTAAAATTTAAAAAAAAAAACCCACCAAAAAAACCCCTCTGGTGGAGAAGCTGTGCTGCAATCCTCAAGGCATGCAGTTTTGAGACCACCAGCTGCTCCATGGGAGGATGGGCAATCTTCTCCTGTGTGATTAAATGCCTCAACCCATCTTAGGGTCAGCTATGGGTTGGTTCAGAAACTATGGTACAAAACAACATACTTTGTCATTTTTAGAACTTGTTTTAAAAGTGATTAATTTTGGTGTTGTTTAAAATAAACACAGCAAAATATGCCAGTTCAAGAGTTTCTACATGTATCATTTATTTATAATTGCTTTATTCTTTGAGTTGTACAACCATTCTCACTCTCTTTTCTGAATTGTTCCTCTTGTCACTGTAGGGTTTGTTTTTGGTGATGAAGGAAGAAGTTCAGGTTGCTTTGAAGGAAATGGCAAAAAATAAGTCCCCAGGAATAGATGGTATACCAATTGACATATTTCAGCTAACAGATGCTGCCTGGGATGTGCTCAGCAAGTTGTGCCAAGAAATCTGGAGAACAACCACTTGGCCAACTTACTGGAGGAGATCTATATTTGTTCCCATCCCAAAGAAGGGTGATCCAACAGAGTGTGGATACTATAGAACAATCTCATTGATTTCACATGCAAGCAAGATTCTACTGAAGATTATCTAAAAACAACTGGACCAGTACATCAGCAGAAAACTGCCAGAAGTCCAGGCTGGGTTTAGAAGGGGTCGTGGCACTAGGAATATTGTAGCTAATGTTAGATGGATCTTAGCTGAAAGCAGGGAATACCAGAGGAATGTCTAGAGTGTTTCGTTGACTATGCAAAGGCGTTTGACTGTGTGGATCATAACAAACTGTGGCTAACTCTGAGAAGAATGGGAATCCCAGAACACTTGATCGTGCTAATGGGAAACATATAGTTGGACCAAGAGGCAGTCGTCAGAACAGAGCAAGAAAGCACTGCATGGTTCAAAATAGGGAAGGGCGTATGCCAGGGGTGTGTCCTATCTCCATACCTTTTCAACCTGTATGCAGAACAGATTATCCGGGAGGCAGGACTCTATAAGGAGAAATGTGGGGTCAAGACTGGTGGAAGATCTATCAACAATCTGCGTTATGCAGATGACACAACCCTGCTTGCTGAAACTGAGGAGGACCTGAAGCGTTTGCTGCAGAGGGTCAAGGACTGCAGGCTCCAAAATGGATTGAGGCTCAATGTCAAGAAAGATTCTCACCACTGGACCAATTGGCAGCATCAGGATGGATGGTGAAGAGATTGAGATTGTACACAGCTTTAGTTTGCTTGCCTCCACAGTCAACAGTCTTGGTACCAATAGCCAGGAAATTAAAAGACGTATTGCAATGGGAAAGTCTGCTGTTAGGGACCTCTCCAAAGTACTGAAGAGCAATGGTGTCTCTCTGGAGACTAACGTGCATCTGATACAGGCTATGGTCTTTTCTATCACTTGTTATGCATCAGAGAGTTGGACAATGACCAAGGAGGATAGGAGAATTGATGCCTTTGAGCTGTGGTGCTGGAGAAGAGTATTGAGGGTACCATGGACTGCTAGGGGAAAAAAAACCATATTCACCCTGGAGAGGGTTAAACCGGACTGCTCCTTGGAGGCAAGGATTCTGAGGCTCTGGCTAACATACTTTGGTCATGTTGTAAGGATGGACCGGTCCTTGGAGAGGGACATCATGCTTGGGATGGTGTAGGGACAGCGCAGGAGGGGAAGGCCCTCTGTGAGGTGGATTGATTCAGTTATTGGGGTAATCAGGATGG